GTGTGTGTGTGTGTGTGTGTTGAGGGCGTTATCTATGGGAAAAGCCTGGGGATTCTTCCTGGTATACCGGAGGAAATGTGGGGACAGAAGTTGGCTAATAAAAGAGTGAAACTGATAGAAAGTATAATTGCCTTTCACCATTTGAGGCACTACTGATGCTCTGCCTCTCGGCTCAGGCTATAAAGAGTTTTATCACTCGTATTTGAACGCTGTGAGTGTGTGTGTGTGTTAATACTGTGAGCTACTGACCTGTGATGTGGAACTATGGGGGATTATCAAGTGTCAGAGTGACATATCACTGTAACACAGAGGAGCAGGAGAGACTGTCATCCTGAAATATGTCTCAGTTTTTACTTCATAACCCCCCAAGCCTCTGTATGTGTATATAGTAAGTGCTATATATGTGTGTGTGTGTGTGACCTGATCCTATACAATATTCCCTCTGCTGTGCTATCTAACACAACAACCCTCTGGGAGTATACTTGCCAATATGAGCCAATGCAGCCCAAAGAGACGTGACAGTGCATTTAGAGAATACTGATTCACAGTCAGGATGGGTTGATAGGAGAATTAACATGCTGCCGGCTTTTTCTGCCTCTTTAATTTGTGCTTTAAATGCATATTTCAGTTCAAATGGATCACATAATCACGTATTGCCCATTGAAACGCACGTTTTAAAAACCAGCTGTGCTTTACAGCTCAGATTGATTTTGCTTGTTAGAGGATCAGTGTTAAAAATCACGTGAATAGATTCCTTTGAAGATAATAAATATCAGATTTTCTCATTAATAGAAAACTGTATAAACAACTGTAACGATGAAAGATTATCACCATTACAAAGACCCCGGCCTGCTAAACTTCTGAAGCATGGGGTCTTTGCTCTGGTCATCTGTCAAAATGTAATATTTTATTGATTAGTTGTTCAGTACATAGTTCTGCCATCAAATTGTTTGAGCCTTTAACCTTTAAAAACCTTATTGCAACATTACTCTGTTTTGCTTTGAAGTTTCTTGTTTTACTTAACTAAAATCAATATCACAAGGATATATATCAATAAGGATATATTGACAATATGGCAAATAAGTTTCTCACTCAGAAAAAATAAAAGAAATCAAATAAATGATCCCAGTAACCGTATGATGTTATTAATATTACAATTATTATGACTATTACCCTTGTATTACATTGTGTATATTCTTTGTGTATTTTATGTCTGTTTCTATCATTATTGTATCTTTGAAGTCACTACTGTTTGGTTTTTGACCAATAATAATAAAGAAATATGGACATTTTAGCATCTACCTATAACTGAACGATAATGTGATACAGTAATATTGTCACCATGATTTTGCCTAAATTCAATAAACAATATAACTTAAGATACTGAATTGTTGCCCTACTTTTACCCTTGATTTTGTACTTTTTGCTTCTATTTATTCAGTAGTAAATCATATTCCCACAGTGTTTTGAAAGGTGCTGTATCATATATTTGTGCATATTTCAAAACACATATAAGAATGAGCACAACAGGCTATTCAGAGGCAGTGACCCTCATGTATAATACATGTTTAATCGTGACCCACTGACCCAGCTGGCAGGTCCTCCCGGTCCATCCAGGCGGGCAGAGGCACCGGTAACCTCCAGGAGCCTCCTGACACGTTGCTCCACGACCGCAAGGGCTCCGATCACACTGCCTCACCGCTGGGAAGAGAGAGAGAAAACACTGTGCATGAACTACTGGTCTGCGTAATGGGAATGTGTGTGTGAATATCAAAGAGACATTGTGTGTGTGTGTGTGTGTGTGTGTGTGTGTGTGTGTGTATGTGTGAGTGTCACTGAGTCTGCGTGATGCCACCATGTGGACATGCGTGATCTGAACTGCAGCGTTGGTATGCGGATGCTTTGGCAGCCTGTGTTTTCATTCTCTTTTCTGCTGCTCTGGTTTCTGTGCAAACAGTGATAAATATAATCATCGGCTACACGTACATGGCAGACACCTCAAACCTTTTCCCAGAGAGGAGGGAGGAGGGAATTTAAATAAAGGATGATGGGAAAAATAGGAGAGACACAGGGTAAAATAGAAATAGAAAAAACTGAGCTGCCACGCCTGGTTCCGCTCGTCTGAAAAGGAATTAAAAACAGATAAAGAAACGTGAGGAAAAAGAGCACAAACAGAC